TCGCTCTATATGATAATAACTTGTGATGTTTTATTGATTAGATAAATACAAATAAAATACTGACGCTCTCATTTTTTCATTCAGGTTGATATTTTGTGGTAAACACAAAACCGTCAAGCCGTTGGCGTTCATTTAACTGCTTTGCTGACCCTATGACACTTCACACTACACGGGGTCCTATTTTAGGACACTGAAACGTTGTACGTTGGGTAGTACTTTCAAATACTCACGACAGCCTAGAGAGTTTAAATAATTAATTCCGATCTTTTTCCACTGAAAGACTGCCAGGTTCAGATAACCAAAAAAGTATCCTATGCCAAAACAAGTTTTCTTTTTTTTTATCAAGGAATCAGTTTGTTGAATTGCTACACCATATCTTTCACATGCTCGCAATAAACAACAATAACACAATTATAGTATATCACATGAAGTCATTGAATTGCAACCGGTTTTGTGAAACGCTGTTTGCAATAATTTGTCCAACCCCGTGTTCACAAAATTACTCACAGCTTCAACGCGACCCGCAGCAATGGCGATTTCCTACAGCATATAGTTCACTTTTAGCCATATACTCAACCAGCCATATACTCAACACTTACACCGAAACAGTCTTTGGCTCTTGACTTAAACATTCAGTACAAGCGCCGCACAGACAACCTACGCTCACGGATTTTTCCGCTCTTCCGACCTTTGACGTGATCGATCTGAAAAGGCTTTTACCTTAAAATTACAATGTCAAATGACAAATCAATTCTTTAAATACATATTTAAAACCAAAAATATATATAATAAACGGCGGTACACCAAAAAGAACTATAGAGTGCAATATATCCATATCTGAAAAAAACTTGGTAGATTGAAATAAATATTCCTGCCCTCAAAAAATACAGTTTTTAAAAACTAACAACATAAGTACCTAATTTACAAAATGTAAACATGGACTGTAACCTTGGGTTACATTATTAGTCAGTACAACATCAGTATCTCACGTTATCTGCATAATATAAATCGTTCTAACTTGAACTTGGTTTTCATATTTACTCTATCAAGCCTCATCTAGTATGTTACATATACAATATGCGTGAATCCACTGTTTAACACATAGACTGAAAGTCGCAAAACGATGATTTTGTTTCTGCTATTTTTTGCCAATTATGAAATTGGCGACTGTGTGATAATTATAAATATGAGTAATGAGCTAGTTGTTGACAGTCAGCAACTTGGCTTCATGCGATTCTAGCCGACCAATGGTTAGAAAATAGTCGTTAGGCTAAATATGATAAATCTGTTAAAACGGCAATAGCTATGATTTCAGACTTGTTTTTATTTAAATTTAACCACATGTATACGACTAAATCTATCCGAAACATTGTTTCAGACACTCTACACGTGAATCAAAGTCAATAGGTAATTTTTCGTTCAACTGCGAGATCTCGCGAGATGCATGAAATACGCGCGTCAAACGTCTGCCGCAAAAATCGAACGATTTGATTTTGAACTCGAATGTCTTTATTTCGTCGCTCAAATCGACCGGCCGATCTTCGATAGAGGAATATTGCTTTCGAATACCCTCACTTAATCGAAATTGTATATTATCAAATGTGTAGAGCACATTATTAAACATGGAAATGCCCTCCAAAATATGTTTGCGTTTGTCGAATCCTACGCGATGTTTGTCACCACTACGACGCTATGACCTTTGTTTGTCCTGTTTTTACGTTCGATTTCACGCATGATGCGTGATTCTTGCAGTGAACGGAAAATGGTCTATTGAAAACTAAGGTTTGAGATGTCATAGAAAACTATCACGCATGTTACACACTATTACGGGAAATTACACATAAAATAACCAACGAGAGATCGCCAGAGGGAGGCTTAGTCTTCCAAGATGGCAACGTATTTGACGATTTGCCAGGACGCCCGGTCAGTTGTTATCTTGTGCCGCAAACTCTAAGGCTCGCATGGGAAACTGGATTTCAGTAGACGGCGCCCTCTAGGTACCCGGACGCAACCCCTTCGATCATCATTTTTTATTTGCAAGCTATAGCGTGTGTGCTATACATTCAGTGTTAATATTTCGGTGATGGACATTTCGAATTACCGATGTTTTATTGAAAATATATATCAGAGAAAAATAGAACATAGTTAAATATTTTGCCGCTTTGAGACACTATCAACTAATTGGATATCATAGTTAATAACCACCTAGACTAGTTACCCAATTGTAAAAATTCAGTCGCAAAACAGCAGTAGTTAGTCAAATCGCGAGGTGTGTAGCCAGCTTATTATTCGTCTCAAGAGCCAGATTCCCATATGCGTTTTCATACTCTTTAACTTTTGAAACCACAATACATAAAACGTATAGTAGTGATAACCGTAACGTACCTGATACCATGTGCTTGCCGAGAGTCGGTGGTAGCAGATACAAGTGTATCCAATAAATGTTGAACCTAACGTATTTTGTGATAATGATTTTGAAATAGCGGTGCTTGGGTTCACGAACCCAACATCTGTCAGACCCAGGTAAATTTACGACGTTATGTTGTGGAGATCACCTTGGAGCCTGGAAGAATTTTTAGATACTCCATTCAGGCACACTATACTATGATGAAGGCTATGCGGACCCATTTGGTTAAGAGTTTGCCTCAAAACTCACACTCATAGAAAACGACAGTACAGGTGAAAGTGATATCAAGGCTTGGCACATAATTATTAGTTTTGAAAAAAAAATATCTGTTCTATTCTCTCTTGATATGTACAGCGCCCTCAATTATAGATTGTTTTATTGATAATCTGGTTCAACCTAACCGTAAAAACTTGATAGAAGCGAAACGAACATTCGGCTTAGCCGCCAAATAATACAATGCGTAAAATATACTAGTGTTCAAACCCAACAATTATCAGCAGGTTACACAAAACGTGAGTGCAAACCAAAACCAAGTCGTAAAAATGAGGGTGTATCAGCTAGGGAGAGAATGTCTTTCTAGCAAGGCTGGTCAGTGCAGCCATTACTCCGTTTTAGTGAAGGACATCAATTGTTATTTCATTAATTACATATGGATATGCATGGTAATAACTTTTTGTTAAAATCAAGGTCCGGTTCACCACCTAAAACAATTGTAAAGAAAACACAAGCCTTAAGACAAATTTACAAAAACACGCTCTATTACATTGTATATTGATAGTATATTTAACTTGATATGAAGTTAATACATAATTTATTGTCAACTGCAAATATACACTAGTTCAAAATACATGGTAAAAAGAACCCCTAGACTAATATGAAACATATTTCAAATAAATTTGGAATGCCTCACACACCTGCATGTATGTTCCACCTAGAGAATCTGCCCTGATAAGAAACAAAAATGGAGGGTTACAAGCCTTGAGTTATTTTGCTCATATACTCACACCGCCTGGCTCTTACCAGAATAACTCGCTTGTGACGCGTAGATCGATGTGAAAAAAACATGATACCACATGACCGGGGAAGTAGAAGCCAGAGTGTATGCATGACCAAGATAAATGTTAGGTAATTGTTATAATGTTTTTTTTTTTTTACCCAAAACTGTAACTATACTCCGTAACTTAGAGCCAATTTCCCACAGCTGGGTGATTTAAGCGTCAGTTTTTTCTACCGATATTCCTTTGGAAGAGCGACGGTTATGATTGTTCCTGTGCGAGCACAGTGTAATTTTTAGAATAGTCGAAGAATGCTTACATTTTTAATTTGAAAACTGTCACTATATTTCAACCAGGCACGGTAAAGTTCGGTGTAAAGTTAAAATAACAATAACAAAACAGTGTACCATGTGGTTGTTTCGCTTCGCTAAGTGTTACAGATAGCAAAACGCCGATAGGGAGCGATTGAGGGCGGTCAATGTGCTGTAGCGGCTCTCAATAAACCGTGCCCTCAATGGCTGTATTTTAGTGTTCTTATGGTTTTTGAACTTGTCAAAATTCTAAAACATACACAACCTTGGGCGGTCACCTTTAATGATTATTTCTATTGTTTGTTCATTTTGACAGAATTTTGTAGTAATTACACAACATATATATGATGATCCTTGTTCCGATTGCATCGATTTAAATGCATTCAAGGACTAATGGTTTTTGTTCGTATGGGGAATGTTATTATTTTGTACTACATCAGTATCTCATGTTATCAGCATATACGTTGATCCTCGAAAGTCGAAAAACGATAATTTTGTTCCTGCCATTTTTTTTATCAAGTCAGCAACTTGGCCATGCGATTCTAGCCTACCAACGGTCAGCAACGGTCGTTATGCTGAAAATGTTAAATCTTTAAACGCGACAATAGCTGTTTTTGCTTAAATAACCACATAATGATAATCCAACCAAACTGAAATATTGTTTTAGACAAAAACCGATTGGCAACGTGAGTTTACACAAATACACATTAAATGCGATTGGAAACTGTGGTTCAGGTTGGCGCCATTTTATTGAAATGTGTTACGTAGCGGTGTACCATAGAACATTATGATACACGTTGCACACTATTATAAGAAAGCACACGTAAAATCATCAGTGAGAGATAGAGTTAAGCTCATCTTCTCAAGATGACTACGTATGTGACGAGTTTTCAGGGCCCTGGTAAGTTGTTATCTTGTACTGGAATGCCAAAAGGTTTGCTTGACAATACTGGATTTCAGTAGATGGCACCTCCTTGAGACCTGGACACATGCCTGCGGACATTTTATTTTATTTGCAAACTGGAATATGTGCTGTACTTCAAGTGTTAGGTAATGGAATATTTTATCAAAAATACATATCAGAGTAAATCGACATATATTGTCGCATCTTAGTTAATAGCCACCTGGACAATTCAAGTTACCCGACTGTAACATTCAGTCGTATAACTACGTATAGTAGTGTTGACCGTAACGTATCTGATGTCATCTGCTGGCCAAGAGTCGACTGTAACAGATACAATTGTACCCAATAACTGTTACAGAGCAGAAAAAAATCAATAATCAAACTGTGGGCCGAGTGGTTGTTGACAGGGGCAGGGGCTTTGTGTTGTAGCGGATCGTAATACATCATGCCCTCAACGGCTGTTCTTTTTGTTTTTGAATCTGTCACAATTATACAACAAATGGACCGTCACCCTCATTTGTTTAGCAATGAAGTAAATCTCTCTCTGTGTAGTGTATATATTTTGTTATTTTAATAGGGGAGTTTGAAAGACGTTGCCGGTGTGTTTTGGCAAGTAAGGTCAATTACAGCGATGCACACTGATCTGTGTATTACTCAATACATCACACGTGGTTGCCTTGTAGTGGTGAGAATATAACATGTTATCTTGTACCGGAATTACGACAGATGACCAAGATCTGTAAAGCGATATAATTTAAACATACATAATAACACACCAATTCCACTAACAGCTTGATAAACGTACATTTACATGGATTGAGTAAATAGTCTATTTTCTAATTATTAGACCAGAAGTGATATACGCTACAAGCATATACTCTCAGTTGTTTTGAAATGTATGATTATCATTGCCATGGAAACACCCAATACAATATACCTTTAGTGACATGGCCAATTAGCTGTGCCTTGGTTCAATTGTCAAAATAAATCATCGTTCCACATGAATAAATTAGTGCTTTATTAGTGTATTATAAGTGTAGATTTATATATTAAGCTACAACCAACACAATAACATTTGGGCCAAAATGAAAACTATTTATGAATCGAAAAAAATAGGTGAAATATTTCATCAGTTCAGTCGCTATTGAGTGTTGATAACTGTTCACGTGTATTCACTTTTAACCGTGGATGCGCAATGCCATGTTATTCGATCCTGCAACTGAAATAAGAAAAGAATTACAATTTAGTAGTATGACAGAGTGTTCAATGGATTCATTAGTTGCAACATGCAACTAAACATTAGTTAATTTGCGAGAATTTAGAGCGACGCTCTTTATCATGTTATGACAGCCCAAATTATTACTTTGCAATACTCACCTGTCTTTTATTTGCCAGCTCATTGCAAAATCATTTACATTCTCAACTAATTGTAATCCTTCACTTGTGAGCTCCTGTAAATCATCATCCGGGTTATCATTGGCATTTCCAAGCAGACCGCATACTTCGCCGTTAAAATTGTCGTTAACCTTTACATCGACACGTCCCTTACCATCCCAACACACACTAAATTCGTCACGTTTTGTAACCAGTATTTTATAATTGAATTGCCTTATTGTAATGCCATTTTCCACATCTTCCCATTTATCCACTATATCCACGATATGGATTGATGTCTGGTTGTTAATCTACAAGTTAATAATACAAGTCTCTTTGTAATATGCTGATTAATATGACAATACAATCAGTTCTGACTCCCATGAGAAGTGAAAGTGCAGAACGCACAGAAACGGTCAAAACGGCAGGTCAACGTGATTACTACTGGGCATATACGCAACACCTCCACAATGAAGAGAAAACTGTTTTACTGACAAACATTCTTGACAAAATTTCATAAATGCCTCATCAACAATGACAAAATATAGCCCTGGTGAATTAGAATGTACCCGAATATACACAACAGTGACACTACCACAAATATTTTTTTTATCGAAGATTAAAAGTTAGAGACTACTGTGATCGAAAACTAATCCAATAAAAAAAGTCATTTGTATAAATTACCAGTTTATGTTTATAAATAAACAAACAAACAAAACAAACAAACAAACAAACAAACAAAAAACAAACTAAAACACTAAGCTACATTTATTTGGCGATGTGTTCCTTTCACAATATCTCAATATCAATTTAATATTATAATCTGTTATTCTGGCATAGACTTTACTAACAGGAATGAAGGATTTCATAACATACATTATAACTCACAAATAAACAGCATACATTTTCTAGTAATTTATAAAATATTTCATTAAACTGAGTTCAAATTTTTATCAGAACACATAATAAACGATTTCAACACGAAATAAGAACAGACCTTAAATTTATTCTATCATGACAAAAGCAGTAGGGGTAAACCTATATTTCTGAACAGTAGTCAATTGGTAAACAATTTATCTAATACGCTGATTCCTCATTGTATAGTTTTCCTTTTTGAGTATGCTGGATGCGGAAGACGATTGACTGGCAACTCTTCCGTTCAGCTGATGGCCGGAATTCTTGTAGTTAGTTTTAAAAGTGAACCCAATGCGTTCACAATTATCTTTTAAATTTACTGTATTACACACAACTTCTCCAAACATCCGAATAACCAAGCAATCATCCAGCCAGTAAATCGAGCAATCAACCAGCCGTCCAAACAATCGATCGTCCGTACACGGCTACCAGAAATTAAATAAACGGTCGAGCGCACATTTTAGTGACCATTGAGGGCGTTAAAATACAGTCAAAATAATCAGAAGAATAATCGTGGTTGTAAATTCATATATATTTATAAATATAGTTTTTTTCCCATATCCTCGAATATGTTTATGCTGTATCTATTTCTCTTCTTTAATAACTCTATGAAACACGTGTAGTATTATCATTATGACGTGTTCAATAAACATTTAGCGAACTGTGCCACGGTGGTTTCTACAAATAAAGCTTATTGAATGCTGCGATTCATACAATCTACTTTACAATCGCTTATTACTTCTCTTCATTACTTACTGAAAGATATTTTCCTTGTAGTAGATCAACTCTGAAGACACTTCCTCCTTCTAAATCTATTAGCACGTAGACGGTGTCAATGTAAACGGCAGCTGTGTACGGTGTATTCAATGTTCTGGCATTCACAATATTCACAGAGAAACGTGGTGGTCCTAATGGGTCGTGACACTCTCTCAGCAACACGTACGAGCAATTGCCGCTGAATACGTACATTCGGCCATCAATAGTGTCAAACTCGGGATCTCCCCAACCACCTTCACATGCATGATTTAAATGATACAATGTTTAGACAAAGCACATATATTGGTACTTCAAATGTTCCTTAGGATAACGAGATCGAATCACAAAATTACTAATTACTAACTGCGTTATGTATATGGATTGTTTAAATAAACAAAAAGTAACATACCTGCTCGCACACCTATGCTATGATGGTTCTGATGAAGGAAAATACACGTTGATTGTTACAATATTTTAAACGTGTTAAGAGTTCCTAATGCTCTGTCATTTTATACACTATTGCTGTATAAATCATTATTCACGATAATGTGTGTTTGTTTGTTGCCGCGGACCCACATTTAACATCTATAAATATAATTCGCGTGATTATGTTGAAAAATGATGTGAGAAACAAATTGTCCGTAATATAATAACAAACTACTTTTACATGAAGTTAATGGTGTATTTCCAGTAATGTGACACAACACAATATATAACAACATATACAACAACATGCTGTAACTTGCTGGGAAAAATAAGGTGCAACAAAATGGACTGTACACGCATGCGTGTAATGATTTACAGGAAACAGATCTACCCATGAAATAGTGCTTAACTATTCACCAATGTTATATCTAATAATATTTTAGTAGATGTGGTTTTTGTGTGGAAAGTTGTTTTTACGTTTTGTTTGCGGACAATAATATTTAGTTGCCTTTGCCTATAATGTTGTTTACCGGTTGTCCAAGCTTCATTGACATAACGTGACTGGCTGTTGCTGCCACCAACGTGTAAACAAGCACGAATCTGTACATTCTGAAATGACATAATAATGAGAGGACATGACATTATTTTTACCATTGACTTGTCTGCATGCAGAACATATGAACATAACTCTGATATGTTATCACCGGACAGTTTTCCTAAAATTTCAATCTGAATTTTAACAGAAGATTTATACTCAATTTAGTAAAATATCTGCCCAAATTTTCGTTTTGTAAGTCACGTATATTTGAATCATATATTTGGCCTCTACTCGTGTACTCAGTGTATAATTTTAAAAAAATTCTAAAATCTCAGTAACTGATTAAAAAGTATTAATTGCTGCTACTATAGATAAAAGAAAGAAATCTAGAATATTGAAGCTATCGCGGTTGTTCGTATAAGTTTGTGATTGGTAACTAGAAAACAAAACATGGTAAAAATATAGATGTATCTCCAAAATATGCAACACTTCTGTGGTTCAATCCATTCATTAAATAAGCTAGATTACTACAGTACCTCAATGAGCTGCGTCGATCTAAACGGTGATTTCAATTGTAAGGATACAATGTATTTCGATGTGCAACTCCAAACTCTGGATAGGAGAGAATGAGTGAATGAGTGGATATAAAATGGTTCGTGGTGCCCAACAAATTAGTGACAATTCACCCGTTTTCAAGCTGTGCCAATACCTGTGTCTGTTTTGTGAAGAAACAATTATACCAGGCGGTGGAGCTTCGGAATAAAAGGTGACAGCACACGACTGCACAAGACTTCCACATCACAGAATCGTTTATTGTTCATATTATTTTCATGACAAAACATTATGCGTTATTGAGACATATAATTATTTCAGTGGTTTGGAACCACGGCACTGACAAACCAAAAATTACACAAAAATGTCTAGTCTCATACGGCACTTTTGCCAAAAAAAAATCGACGATCTAAATTTCAGCAGATGACGCAGAAAAAATATCTCATGCCTTGAAATGTTGCTCTGTGAAATGTGCTGCACATGTTATTATTTTATTTAACAGAATTCAAATTGTTACATACATAGACTGTAAACCATGAGATAATTGATTATTATTTATTTTTTCAAAGGACGTTTTCTTCAATGACGCACTGCATGCATATTCAGTACACGCTTACCATCTGCGACACTTGTTTATTTGGCGTATGCGTTCAACACACTCTTACTTCAAAGGGGGAGACTAGTATAGTGTAGCGAGAAACAAAGTCTTCAGTGTTTTTGTCTTGTCAGCCAAGCGTATTTAAACATTTCATAATGGCAAATACAACCAATGTGAACGTGTAGTGCAGCAATCTATGTTCCCTGCAGTTGGAATAAAATTGTTCATAACTAAATAGAAAATCATAATAAAGGTTTGTTTTAATTTCACTGAAAACGCATACACTTCCTTGCGGTAATGACAAAACACGGTGGCCTAGCCCTTGCATTAAAATTTACAATGGGAAGTATATGTTTCTCGACCAATAATTTTTTGATCAAATCAGACTAACAGACAACTCCACCTTGCTGCATGTAGTGATGTATGCAATACATACCTTTCCTATGCTACTCAAAAGACCTTTACTGATTTAATAATTATAAGTTTTATCCCCTAAAATTCGCTACGTCACAATCACTAAACTTAAATTAAATACGCAAATACACCTACCTTGTATATTCTCACTGATTCTATGGAGACTGGTGAATGGTCAATCAAGGTGAGTCGCTACCATTAAAACATGTATCACAGTAAAATATTCAATAATTATTGTGCGATGTTACACATACACGCAAGTCATTGACATTTAAAGTTATTACGGAGAAACAACGATATGTTTTTAAGAGAATATTTGCTAAACATGTATCATAGGATATCATATAAACGTACTGTGGTGTGGATAACTTACACTAGTATTCAAAACACTCAGCCTGTCACATCTTATAATATTTTTTTACAGCGTAGGTCGCCAAACAAAAGTTTGAGATACAATGGAATGTCTCCGATTGCAAACTTAAAACCTATTTCCGAATTCGTTTTCTGCAAACTTAGTTTCGTTGACCACATATTTTTATTTACGAATTTTAATGTTAGCAATCGTCCTTAAAACACCCGCTTACAGTCAGGTTGGACATGCGATATGATAAATACTGACTTGACGATAATATGAGAATCACGTGACATGCATACAAAAAATAAATATTTTTGACGCTCAGATTATATAAATATCTACAGATTATATATGTACAAGTTTTATATTCACATGGCAGTTTTTTTTGAAACAACATATTTAAAACTATCTACTAGTACAACATACACATGTATACAACTAATATATAATTATTATCTTTAGTTGGATGAGAATTTCCACTAAATAGCAGCGACAACATATCCTATAAACAACCGGCCACGACGTCTCGTTGATATCAATGGAATCACATGACTTCTCCACCTAACAGTGTTTTATTTACCGCCATTGCGGTCACTGTTCTGCTGGCCTATATAACCGTGGTAATTGAAACAGTAAACGCATATGTCGACAGAGATTGAAATATTTCGAAGGTGAAAACAAGTTGCGTAACTTTGTTGCTCTTAACGACATTTCGATGCTTACCCGAGACTAAGGCGTATTGACACAAATATAATTATTTTACAAGGCATCTATAATTTTTTATATCGTGTAGTAACTATGTTGCTCATGCAATTTGTTTTAGTCTTACTATTTAATAGTTTACTATTCCCGAACCATTTTAAATTACTTGAGGCTCTGAGAAGAACATGTGTACGTGAGTTCTGTGGATCAGACCAATGATTGATTTTGAAGGTAGACCATATATGCAATCGTATACAGAAAATCGGTCGAATCCTAAATTTGATTATAGCGCCATTAATTTGTTACATAAGAGGAAAAAAACAGGTTTCATTGACCGCAAGTCAATCACAGTACAATTAGGGGGATTGGTTTGCCAAAGTTTATTATGCATTTTCTTGCGTGCTTGAACGTATGTTAACTTGAAGATATGGACTTTTTTCTGTTTCCTCTCTGATTCCTCACATAGCATTTTAGATTAATCAAGGTAAATATATTATAAAATAACAAAAAAGTATCTTGATTATTCGCACATGTAGTTGCTTATTCTTATGGTGGCTTAGTCTCTCCGTATTGTTATTATGACTAAATTTGCATACTTACATTATTTTTTTACACTGAAATCGATTTAACATCAGGATCAGTCAGCAGAGATGTTAACCTCAACACAGTATTTGAATATCAATATTCTTAATCACCTGGGTAAAATTGACTATTTATCTTAAAGTCTGCACAGGTTATCCCCGGTCGCTTGGGATATCGTGGGTAACACTGATGGTGCAGTTCCATTGTATACATAAATAAACATATACAACGTATTGGTGGATACCATATATGCCATACATATGTATATATCTATACATGCAGACACACATATACACTTAAACACACTCGTAGCATATTTGTGTCACATTTGTTGGTAGCAACAAAAACAACGCCCTCTACAGGTGCATGACAGGATAAATGACAGAATAATTTTATTTCTTACACTTGGTGTAATGTGAAGTAAAGAAGGCAAACCGCCAGTAATATAACTGATGTGAATTAGGCATGTTCTGTGTATTATAAAATGGTTCTAGTATAACATATTGTTCAAGGAGCGGGAAAACCGGTAATTATTTAAGCATTCATTTATACACACAACTTCTGATTTTATAGACGTATTTTTTTGTCACACATAAGCGATTGTGCCAATGAGATGACGCAATAAAATGTTTGGGTATTTAATACAGTGAGCAAAGTGTTTCTTTCTGATGTTTCTGTTGTTGTTGTTGTTCATTATTACTTGAACGCCACAACGTCCTCCGCTAATGTGTATGTGCCACGCTTTGCACATTTATATGTATATTTATATGTTGATTTTCCATTAAATGCAGGGTTGACCAACATACTATAGTGTTAACCACTGATAACATCTTTCATGGACAATGTAAGAGTTGAATGTGAGAACATGCACCTTCCACGTGTACACACATTTATACACAATTATCGCTCGTTGTGTATTACTTTATAATTACGGACTGACGTTGTGTTGTCTTTCTTCTTCATTTGTATTGCAAATCTCTCATGTATTTTTGTGATTATGAATATTAATCACCATAAGGGTTTAATCATTAAAAGGATTAGCCAAAATTGATTATTTATAGCACAGTTATAGCACTGCAACGACAACAATAGTGCCCACACGCAAAATACATTTACACAACCCTCTCATCACAACTCGTTTTTTACCAACAGCTGTAGTTAATCGCGGCTATCATTTTACACATATATTGTTGTGAACACGTTTCCTGGGAGCAATATAGATTTATGTTAAATATTAAGTTATTTTAGTAATATTTTTATAATACTTTATTAATAATACGGCCACACACCCAGTCATAGATTTGTTCACACAAATTGTATAAGTAATTTCACAAGTGCAATAACACAAAAAAAATCGACACACCAATCCATAATAAGTGATACCACACTTCATAGAATTATTTATGAATCTCAAGTTAATAATTAATAGATTTTTGTATATCATTTTAGTAGAAAAAATAGGCTTTTACTAATTGTGTCATTGTCACTGCCCAAATACTGCATTTGCCTCGTTTTTAACACTGGAAATTTAATAATTCTTTGTGTAAAGGTAGAAATTATGTCCTAAAGCTATCAAATCAAATCAAGGAGTGGGAGCCTCAGCTTTTAGACAATGAACCAATGATTTCCTTGGAGTATCTAAAGTATAAAATAAGACGTTTTACAATGACCTATTCAAATTCAAAAGCTCAAGAAAAAAACACAAAACTTCATTAACTGGAATCGTTAATTGAGGACTTGGAAAATATTCTTGATAATAAATTTAAAACAGAGCAATATCATGAGACAAAATTGAAAATAGAGAAAATCTGGAATGATAAAGTACAGGGTTCCATTATACAATCTAGATGTAATCATTACGAGCTGGAAGAAAAAAGTAATAATTTTTTTCAGCATTTGGAGAGATCAAACAAAACTAAAACAACTGTGAAGCGCTTACATATTAACAATACTGAGGAAACAAATACTGATCACATCATGTCCTATATTAAAGAGTTCTATTGAAATGTGTAAGATCATTTGATAGAATCAGAACTGGGCGTCCAACAATTTTTATATAATACTAACATTTCTTGCCTAAGTGAGTAAGCAAAGTGGTCTTATGAGGGAGCACTAACTTTGAATGAATGTTTTAGAGCCTTAAACATATTACCAAAAGATAAAACACCGGGTAATGATGGCTTGTCAGCTGAATTTCATCAAACATTTTGGAACATTATTAGTTCACATTTACTCAATAGCTTAAATTACTCTCATAGAAAGGGACAGTTAACAGGGTCATAATCCTGATTGCTAAAAAAGGCAAATATAAAACATTCCTTGAAAACTATAGACTACTCTCCCTCATTAATACCGATGTCAAGATAGCCTCTAAACGCATTTATGCCATCCTGCCAACT